AGGTTGGAGGGGGCTGTTGGCAAGACCTGGGGGTGCAGGGTGTGACGTTCAGGCAGGGGGGGGCAGTTGTCTGAAGCAGGATGCAGGAGTGTCTTGTTGGGGCCCATCTCACCCGGGTCTCTCTCCCTTCCCAGGAGAGGCCGGGCAGTTGCACCAAACCTCCCCCGTTTCCGTCTATCTGTTCCCGGGGGAGAACGGTGCTGGGGGCAAACCCGGCCCCCCACCCCCTGCAGCCCAGCCCCCTGCCTCCGTGGAAGTGGGGCTAGATCTCTGCTCCTCGGAGGGCAGCGAGGAGGAGAGCGAGGCCACTGACAATGACGACTTCTGCATCCTGGACGCGCCTGGCATGGGCATTCCAGTAAGGGGAGGCAGGGCCCATGGGGGCAGTGGGACACAAAGAAGCTGAGAGGCTTGGGGAGCTCTGACGGCTAAGGGGTGGGGCTTTGGGAGGGACTGGGAGAGGTTGGGAATGGGGCAGGGCAGGGTTTAGTGCCTGGACCCTTTGGGAAGGATGAGGCAGTGGGATATTGGGAGGACAACTGGGTCCCCAGACTGCTCTGAGGCTGCCTATGTGTGTCTCCTCTCCCCCACGCCTCCAGCCCAAGGACGGTGAGCCTGTGGTGACAAAGCTGCTGGAGGGGCCAGTGCCCATCAAAGACGGCTACTTCTCGCGCCCGCTGGGCAGCACAGACCTGCTGAAGGCTCCAGCTCACTTCCCCTTGCCAGAGAGCCGGGTCATGCTGCGTGCGGGACTTTGGGGTCGGGCGCACCCCCCCAGGACATGCCCACTCGCCCAGGTGAGACCTCGATGGCTGGCAGACACAGCCTGCCCTGTGGTTGGGCTGGGCAGCTCTGACCCGGTCTTCCCCCTGCTCTGCAGGATAAGGCCCGGCCAGTCGAGTGCTCGCAGCTCCCCTTCCCGTTCCTCCATGGCCAACCGGCCCCAGAACACCTGGCGTACGCAGGGCGGGACTGGGCGCCTCCACGATCAGCTCATGGAGATACAGCTCACCAAGGTGAGAGCGAAGGACGGGGATGGGGCTTCCAACCATGCTCCAGAGGATCTTCTGTGACCTCCCTGCCACAGGAGAGTAGGCTGGGCAGGCCCATGGTGAGCTCCCCCATTACTATGGAAGCAGATTCGGCTCCTAGCCCTTCTGTGGTGGTGATGGGGGGGAGTCAGGCTTCTCAGGGACATCCCCACCCCTGCTGTTATCAAGCTCTGGCCTCTCGCCTTCCTTCAGGTGAGCTTTCAGCATGAGACCTACCCCAGTGGGGCAGAGAAGCCGTCCCCGGAGCTGGAGGAGCAGCCAGTGTCGCGGCAGGTGTTCATTGTGCAGGAGCTGGAGATACGTGACCGGCTGGCCTCCTCCCAGAGCAACAAGTTCCTCTACCTGTACACCAGTGAGAAGATGCCACGCCGGGCCCACTCCAACATGGTATGGCCAGGGGGCTAACAGAGGCGGGATCTGGGCTGGAATGGGAGCAAGTGTTAGAGAGCAGGCCTGAGGCGAGTGCTGGGTCTGAGGAGAGATTGTGGGGCAGGAGCCATGCCAGGGTCAGGAAGGGAGTTCTGAGGGCTCTTGGGGTGAGGCAGCCACTGCAGCGAGGAAACAGAGGAGGTATCTGGGATGGGCATGAGAGGAGGGTTGGGGTGGGGTGGGTACTGGATTTCGGGGGCAGTGAGCTCTGTACGGGTGGGCTCTGGACATAGTTTGTTGGGGTCCGTACAGGCTGGGGGGCGGGAGAGGGGTCTGGACCTGGGGGAAAGAGATTTTGTTTTGAGGTGGGTGCTAGGGTTGGGGGATGGGATTTTGGCAGGAGCAGGGCTCGGCGGGGGGAGGGTTTGGTGTGGGGTGGGTGTTAGGGCTGAGCAGGGATGGGGGAGGGCTTGGGGGAAAGATTTGATCTGGTGGGTCTCAGATCTGGGCAGAGGGAGAGCTCGTGGGATGGGATTCAGTGTGCACTGGTGCTGGGGCTTGGCAAGGGGCTGCTCTGGGCTGTGGGGGGAGGGATTTGTTATGCAGTGGGTGCTGTGGCTTGGTGGGGGTCAGGGTGGGAGAGGTTTCGGGGGGGGTGGAGGATTTGGTGTGGGATGGGTGCTGAGGCTCCACAGGGGTCAGATCTGGTCTGGGGAAGGGCTGTGGGGCTCACCTAGTTTGATGGCTGCCTCCCCCATAGCTCACCATCAAGGCCCTGCATGTGTGCCCTGAGGCCGGACTGGGAGGCCCCGAGGGCTGCCTGCGTGTGTCTCTCCTGCCGCTGCGCCTCAACATTGACCAGGTGAGCGGGGCCGCAGGTGGTTCCGTGGGCCCTGCCTAGAGGCTCCCGGCCTTTGCCCCACACCTGGGGGGAACCCTGATCCAGATGCATCTCCCCACCCCCGCCCACAGAGAGGGGAAGGGCCCCTGCCAGTTCCCCAACCTGGGGCCAAATCAGAGCTGGAGCCCCGGGGAGCAGAAAGGCCTGTGCCAACTTGTTTGAATGAAATTAACCCTTTCTCTCCTGGAGCCTCAGCTTCCTGTGGTCTAGCATTGTCCCTCCCCATCCTCCACCTCCTTTCCAAATTACTGGCTCGGACTCTGCTTGGATCCCCTTGGCCATAGCAGTTTGCCTGCTTCTGGGGCAGAACACAGAGCTGGTGCCTTGCTCATAGTTTCCAAGCCTGCCTGTCCGGCCAGCCCTGTGTCCAGGGAGCTCCTTCCCCTTGCGCCCTTCCAGGGCCACGCTCACCTCTTTTTCCTTCGCTGTCTGCTGGCTGGTGCACACGGCCAACATGCCAAGCAATCCCCCAGCTCCTGCATTTACAGATGGTCTCAGGCCTGTGGCCTTGGGTGGTGGCATCTGTCATTAACTCACTCACTCCCCTACAAAGGGACTTGGAATCATAGAACGCTAGAACTGGAAGGGACCTCGAGGGGTCATCAGGTCCAGTCCCCTGCCCTCACGGCAGGATCAAGCACCATTTAGATCAGGACTGGGCAAAATGTGGCCCAAGGGCTGGATCTGGCCCACCTAACACTTTGATCCGGCCCATGGACTGCATCTGGCCATTTCTATTTCTAGCCTGCTGCCCGTGCCACTGAATTTCCAAGCGGTGGTTCAAGCAGCCAGATCCTATTTAAATGGCTCTCAGCTCCCAGTCACAGTGTTACCCCAGCAGGGGCCAGAGCCCGGGGCCCTTTAAATAGCCACAGCAACCCCAGGTGACTGCCAGGCAACATGGTGGCTGCAAGCTCTTTGCTGTGTGTTTTAAGTCAAAGCCTCCGGCCCCAGACAACTCTGCGGGGGGAGGCAAGTTCCCAGCTCCACCTAGGATTGCCAGGTGTCCGGTTTTGAACCAGACAGGCCAGTATTTGAGCTTTCTGTTTGGGAAACAAATTGAGAAAATAGAAATGAGAAAATAGAAATGTCCGGTATTTTCTAAATAAGATGGAATGTAGATTGTGATGTAATGTCAAGTGTGTGCAGTATTTTTGATGAAACCATCTGGCAACCCTAGCTCCACCCCTTCTGCCCCAGGCCCTGCCCCTCCTAGGGGGTGAAGCCAGCCCATCACCACAAAGCAAATTTTAAGTGGCCCCCCTGCAAAAATTATTGCCCACCCCGATCTAGATCATCCATGACCGATGTCTATCTAACCTGCTCTTTAATATCTCCAGCAATGGAGATTCCACATCCTTCCTCGGCAAATATTCCAGTTTTTGACCACCCTGACAGTTAGGACATTTTTCCTAATAGCCAACCTAAACCTTCCCTGCTGCATTTTAAGCCCATTGCTTCTTGTCCATCCTCAGAGGCCAAGGAGAACAGTTTGTCTCCCTCCTCCTTGTTACACTCTTTTAGGTAGTTGAAAGCTGCTATCATGTCCTCTCTCTCCTCTTTTCCACACTAAACAAGCCCAATTCTTTCAGTCTTCCCTCACAGCTCATGTTTTCTCATTTGTTTTTTTACAGGTCTTATCCACTCCTCTCCTTTTAACTAAACGAATGGTAGTTAGCGCAGCCAAGTCTATGACTGAGGGCTGCCCGCCTTCCAGTATAACACTGTCTTTGCTGCTTCTCCTCCTACCAGGATGCCTTGTTTTTCCTGAAGGATTTCTTCACCAGCCTGGCTGCCAGCATTAATCCCGTGTTGCCTGTGGAGGCTGGGACAGAAGGTGAGTTGAAGGGCAGTCTAGAGGGGCTGTCTGGCTGCGGGGGAGGGGGGATAAAGCTTCACCCTCTCTGAGAATCTTCTGGCTCTTTGAAGCCCTGGCATAAACCTTCCTCGTGCTGCGAAACTGAAGCAGGGGGACAGACTCTTGGGCCACGTGAGTCTCTGGCCACGCCAAGTGCTGTTACCGTGCCTGTAACCAGGCCTCCTGGACCCACTGAGCTTTTCATGGCCTCTGCCAGCTACACTACCACATGGCTCCACAAAAATGGGGGTCTTGCTGAGGCGTGAGCTGCCATGAGCATGTACGGCCGGCTGAATTAGAGAGGAGGGAACTGAGGTGTGGGAGTTAGGGAAGGGATGTGAAATTCAAGCCCCTGCTCCTTGACCCCACCATTTCCCTGTCCCCCTCCCCCCCACATAGCCCCCCCAAATCCAGGGGTCCGAGCCAGCCCAGCCGAGTCAGACTCTCTGGGGAAGGAGCCTGAAGTGAGCCGGGGGCCAGGGTTGGTGCTGGTGGGGGTGGAGATGACGGCTTCCATGGAGACCACACTGAGTGAAAACAGCTCCTCCTCCAATGCCTCGTCCGCCACGGACCAACCCATCTACTTCAGGTATGAGATGCAGCTGCCTCTGGGGTGGGGCGCAGGAGGTGCTAATAGTAATTGGCAAAGGGGAATCTTATTTTACATTGAAGTGGCAGGGGGGGGGAAATGAGAAGTGAAGGAGGCAGAACAGGAATGATGGAACCTAGAGTGCAGCCTGGATTCCGGGGTTCCCCACAACCTGATCTGTATGGGTGGGACCATCAGTGATCATGCGGTAGCAGGACACATTTTGACTGGGGTAGTGCTTCATTCTGTCCTCCACTCCCTGTAGCACAGCACCCCCTAGTGCTGCACTGGGGTCAGCACCCCTCCCTTCTGCAGAGTCCCCATCCTACTGCCTGCAGTACCAAGATTTTGGTGACTTCTGTCAAGGCTCAGGGGGCTGCTTAGCATAAGCTCGGTGCCCATGAGGTGGCCTGGCTGTGAGTACTGCCCCCTCATCTGCCAGTCTGTTCAGCTCTGTGTCCTGGCTGATTGATCCTCAGGGAGTTCCGGTTCACGTCAGAAGTGCCCATCTGGCTGGACTATCATGGGAAGCACATGACCATGGACCAGGTGGTGAGTGGGGCTGGAGCAGGGAGATGCCAGTGAACTTCTGGGTGGGGCAGTGGTGATGGGGAATCGCAGACCCCAGCTCCTTCCCCAACTAGCCAGCCACGGCCTCTTGTCCCCTGCTGGGAGGGCTTGAGGTGGAGGGGGATCGTGTGGGATAAGCTTTGTGACTTGTGAGCAGGATACAGCCCTGGGTGGGGTGCGTAGTGGAGCAGTGCCTGGAAAGGGGTGGAGCTGGCCAGGAAGTGGCAGGGGCACCTCTGGTACTGGTGGGAATTGATTCAAGTTCTAGAGCTGGGGGTGGCTGATTCAGGTTCTAGAGCTGCTCCGTGTCGGGAGGCGGACCACAGGGCCCCTTTACCCGCCCCCGCAAGAAGGGGGGGAGGAAGGGGTCTCGCCCAGGGCTATGCCGCCCTCTTGTTCTGGCCCACAGGAGGGATGTCCAGGGGGAGTGTGGGAAGCCAATGCTTCTGCCCGGGCGGTCCACACCCTGGGTGTTCTGACCTGGTCCTTCAGACCCCCACACCCGTTGTGTCTTCCTTTGCCATCTATGCCTCTCCCGGGACCACAGTCCACCCCGAGTACCCCTCACATGCTTCTAGTTCCAATCCAATGCCCTTTGGGGTGTCTGGGTGTTAAGTCAGTGTCTAGCCGCTACACCCCATGCAGCTCTGTCCCATTCCAGGCGGGTTCTGCCCAGTGCAAGCAAGGGGGAGGTAGGTTAGGGTCAACCCTTTAAGGCTAGAGAGAGTTCTGGTCTGCAGCCCTCCAACCACTCGCGCTCCTGCCCACCCTGGGCCGCTTCCTACCGCCCCCACTCACTGCTGTCTGAATCCCGGCCGTCTTCTTCTGGGACACCAACCGTCTCCCCGGGCGACAGCTCGCCGGGCCGACAAACTGCCGCTGGCTGTTCTTCCCTCGACTGTGAGGGCTGTCCTCTCCCCTCTGGGGGTAGCCCATATGGTTCCACACCCGGGGGGAGGCGGGTTCTCCCTGACACCCGGCTCCCCCTCGCCCTCCGGTTCGAAGGAGCTTCTTCTCCCCCCCTCGCTTGCCGAGCCGCCGGCATTTAAAGCACCGGCGTCTGGCGCGAGCATGTGTCACGGGGGCGGGGCTGGGCGGCTGCACCTCCCTGCCATGGCGCCCGACCAGTGGCGGGGCGTTTGCGCTCTGTCACGCTCCCCTTCTGCTGGGTCTGGGGATGCAGCACGGAGCATCCTCTCCAGGGGTGCAGAATCCACCTCTTTGGCTGTTACTATCAGCTGGGCAATAATGTAGCCCTGGAGCGGGCACTAGAGGGTGCATTGGGATCCTCCACGACGCCTTTGATTCTTAGGCCACTGATTTGAGTTCTGCTGGGGGCAGGGGGCAGTTGATTAGTGTGGAACAAGTTAAGGTGAGGTCAGACTGGCCAAGGGAGACCCCATTCAAACTGGCCCTGGGTGCTGGGACCAAGCTAACCTCCCCTGCCACCAGAGGAGGACCCGGTGGGTGGGGGTGGAGACATGCCTGCGCATGTGGGGGAGATGGCTGCTCATAGGAGGGCTAATCCCCATTGTACTGGGGCAAAGAGGGCTGAGTGTGGGACCCAGGTGTAGGTTAGGGGAGTTCCTGCCTGGCAGCTCTGCGGTTGGGGGAGGAGGTTGTCTGTCTGCATGGCACTGAGGCTTAGGACAGTGCTGGAGGGTGCATAGATGGGTACATGTGTTGCGAGGGGAATAGCATTGGGGGACTGTGCATATATGGGGGAGCTGCTTGGGGGATGGGTGCAGGATTGGGGCCATGAGGAAGCTGCAGGTGGGAGATGGGAGGGAGGCAGTCTGTGCATCAATAGTGCTTTAACCTTTCCTCTCCCCACCCAAGGGCACCTTCGCTGGGATCCTCATCGGCTTGGCCCAGCTCAACTGCTCTGAGCTCAAGCTCAAGCGCCTCTGCTGCAGACACGGGTGAGCTGGGGGGCCTGGGAAGTGCAGGCTTTGGGGTGGGAAGGGGGGTCAGGGCATGCAGAGGGTTTGGCCTAGGCCCCTTGCATGTGCACCTGTGCAGGATCCAGACTAGGGATGTGAAGGGTTAACCGCTGGGAGCCTGCTGCAGACAGGGCCAGGCTGGAACAGCCCCTACCGGCAGGAAGGGGGCCGCTCCAGCCCAGCGGGATTCAACAGGATTTTACATCCCTAGCTCAGCCTGGGAGCCGGAGCTGCCTCTTTCTGCCCTGCTCTCTTGCCTTAACTGGCACCACTAGGGCCCAATTGCTGTGGAGGGAGGTGTAGTCTGTAGCGCAGCTCCAGGGCTCAGTTCCATCCAAGAGGGCAGTGGGGGCTGCCCATTTTTTCACACAATGCCTCTGTCTGTGCCCCCAGGCTCCTGGGCGTGGACAAGGTGATCAGCTACGCCCTCACTGAGTGGCTGACGGACATACGCAAGAACCAGTTGCCAGGCATCCTGGGCGGCGTGGGGCCCATGCACTCTGTCCTCCAGCTCTGTGAGTGCTCGGCCTGGCTTGGCCCACTAGCCCTGGCTTTGTGCCAAGTGTCCCAACCACAAGTGCTGGGTGTGGGAGGAACCACCGTGCTCTGGAGGGATGGGGAAGGACATGGAGGAGGGGATACAGGGGTTCTGGGGTGAGCTTAGAGAGGAGGGAGTTAAGTGTGGAGTGGTGTAGGTTGGGGATGGGGGCCCTAGGTCCAGCGTGATGGGGTGGGGGAGATGGAGACAGGGGGGTCGCTATGGTCTCTGGAGGGGGAAGCTGTTCTGCCCTTAGGGTTCCCCCATTTCCAGCTAAGGTGGCTTTTTCCCTCCCCCTTCCCTAGTCCACGGCCTGCGTGACCTGTTCTGGATGCCCATCGAGCAGTACCGCAAGGACGGGCGCATCATCCGGGGGCTGCAGCGCGGGGCTGCCTCCTTTGGGACCTCCACAGCCTCGGCTGCCCTGGAGCTCAGCAACCGCCTGGTGCAGGCCATACAGGTGAGGTCCCTGCCTCCCTCCCATCCATCTCTCACCCCAGCGAATGGCCCTATCCAGCCAGTGGGGAAAGGTGGGGTGGGGAAAGGACCAGGAGTCTGCAGTAGCATCAGAGAAGGCTTTTCAGGTAGCCCATCCCCTTGGCATGAGGGAAAATGGTTCTGAGAGGAGGCACTTGTCCAAAATCAATGGTAAAGCTGGGAACAGAACCCACAAGTCCTGGTCCCTTGTCCTTCCTCCCCTTTCTCTAACCAGCTAGATCAGAGTGGGGCAGACTACTGCCCCCAGGCCACATCTGGCCCATCAGACCCTTCAGTCTGGCCCCTAAGCTTCCCTCAGGGAATGGGGTTGGGACAGCCTTGCCAGCAGGAGCCAGCCCAGCTGCTGGGCAGTGTGCGGTGAGTAGGGGTGACTAGCCCCTGTCCCTCTCCTTCTTCCTCCTTCCCCACAGCCTCAGCTCCCCCAGTGCCTGTGCGGGTGCACTCACTGCCCCACCAGCCCTGATGCTCAGAATAGCGCAGTCAAGGGACAGGGTTAGTCGGGGTGAGGGCCAAGCCATGCCTGGCTGTTCAGCAAGGAGCAACCTCCCCAGACTTCCCTGCCCAGCTCTCCATACAATTTCCTTACCCAATGTGGCCCTCAAGCCAAAAAGTTTGCCCACCCCTGAGCCAGACCTGCTCCCCTTCCAGGGGTGCTTTTCTTCTTGCCCTGAGTCCATTCTAGTTCATAGGCCATGTCGGTCGGGGCAGAGAGAGCAGGACTTGGAGACTCTGTGAGGGGTGGAGTGGGGAGACTAGGGGTGTCTGTGGGTGGGTGGAAGGTCTGTGTGTACAGGGTGCGGGGGAGGAAGCAGGGATGTGGGAGGGTCTCAACATGTGATGCTTTTGGGGTTTCTCATCTCTTAATGCTCCCCCCCAGGCCACAGCTGAAACAGTCTACGACATCCTGTCTCCAACCTCTCCTATGACACGGACCCTGCTGGATAAGAAGCATGCCCGGAAGCTGCGCCGAGGCCAGCAGCCAGCTGACCTCCGTGAAGGCGTGGCCAAGGCCTACGATACCTTCCGAGAGGTATGGTCCCTCCCTGCGCTAAGGCCTGTCCCCTTCCATTAAGTGGGCCAAGGCTACTCCCAATTGCTGGACGTTCCCTCCTGACCCTGCTGGGAGCTGAGCCCTGAAGCATTAGAGTGGGGAGGCTTATCATTTGGATTCCAGTTATATCCTCTGGCAGGTACTTCCACAGCTTAACCACAAACTCCCCTTTGCTCTCTTGCAGGGCGTGATTGATACAGCTCAGACCATCTGCGACGTGGCTGCACGGGGCCATGAGCAGAAAGGCATCACAGGGGCGGTGGGCGGAGTCCTGCGTCAGATCCCTCCCACCGTGGTCAAGCCTCTTATCGTGGCCTCGGAGGCCACCTCGAACCTGCTGGGGGGGATGCGCAACCAGATCAAGCCAGATGCCCGCAAGGAGGAGTCTCTCAAGTGGCGGTTGGAGGAAAGCCAGGACTGACAGTACAGACCATGTGCCACAGAGCCCAGCCCTACTGCCTGGACACGACGACGGCTTACCATCTCCTTCTCCTTGGGGGGGGGTGCCAAATCCTACCCCCTTTGGGGAGCTGCTGGCCCCTCCAACCAGGCCATGCGAAGGACACAGTGCAGTGATGACTGCAATTTGAACCAAGGAGCCATAATTCAAGGGGGGCAGTCAGCTTGAAACCAGGGGAGGGAGCTAATTTAACCCTTGTCCATGGTTGCTTGGGACTTGCTTTTATACTGATCAGCCCCTCGAGTCCTCCCTTGCATGATCCTTGCAGCCGCCGCCCCCAAAACCAAATGAGGAGACTGAGTATTAAAGGAAGTGAGTGGTTTTCACTCAGTCTCATGGCCCAGCTTTCTCCAGCCCCATGTCCCTTCCCAAGGGCCGGGCAGCTTTTACAAGGGCCGGGAGGTCTGACCCCAAGGGGAAAGGGACCTTGATTCCCTTTCCTGCCTCTGTCCCCAGCTGCTGACCTCAGGGGGAGGATTGTGAAGTAAGAGTCTCTTTGGTTGCAACCATCTGCCTTACCAGACTTGGGCTTAGGGGGTGGCTGAGCTGCTGACCTCAGGGGGAGGATTGTGGAGTAAGAGTCTCCTTGGTTGCAACCATCTGCCTCACCAGACTTGGGCTTGGGGGGTGGCTAGTCTAGACGCCTGTCCCACTGCTGGCAGTGCCCAGAAAAGAAGCTCTGTTCTCTCTCCACTGCTTGCTCCTACCCGTGCCGTCACTTTGTTGTGTTTTGGAAATAGCTGTGCAGCTGCTGGCATGTGGTGCTTAGGACTGGCTGCTGCTTTGAGAGCTTTGCGGCGGGTGAGGGGCACTCTGATAAGGCCATGAACAGACTCTGTGCCTGAGCTGGAACTTTGCAGTCCATTCTTCAGCTGTGTGGTCTGCAGCAACTCTGAGTGGGGAGAGGGGTAGTCTAGACCAGGCACTGTATGGGCCAAGGAGCCCTCAATGCAGGACATTCTTTTGGGCAGGGACTAATAGACAGTGTTGGAGGGGAAACTGAGGCATGGAGTGGTGACAACATCTTCCCTTGGGATTTATGCTGCGTGCTCTTAGCAGTTAGTAAGGCAGTTTTTTCCCATAGTAGGGACTTTGGGTATCGGGGGGCATGTTGTACTTTCACGTGCAGGAGCTAGGAAAGGTGTGGTTGTGATCGCTCTGTGCCTATGGGAGATGACCACTTCTGGACAGCAAGGAGTGAATCTCGTCTCTGTACTGCAGGGCTCCTCCTCCTCTCCCAGGAGCACTGGTCCCTGTGCATTGTTGTGATTGAGCAGTTCCCTGTGCTGCTTGGGGCAGGGACTGGGCTCCTTGAGTTGCAGCGTCCCGAACCCTCTCTTCCCATACTTGTGTAACCCACCCCCATTCACTCCTGCTCTGCTGCCCCTACAGTGACTGGCTTGGGGTTAACCATGGCTAGGCCTTGGTTGCCTTAGAGCCCTTTAGGATCCCATTGCTTTCTTTGTAGAGTGGCATCAATTCACCCCTTTCAGCTGCTCTTGGTGAAATAGCTTGAGCTGCTTAGTCTGTCATTGTAAGGCAGATGTTCTAGGCCTCAAATTGTCTTTGCAGCCATTCCCTGCCCCTTCTCCCTTTTGTGTCCCACCATGGAGCGCTGCAGAAAGCTCCCTACAGACCCACCGGCCAGTGGAAACCCAGTGCACCCATTGCCTGGCTTGTTTTATCCCTAAGGGGTGCAAGCAGGTACTAAAACTGGTTCTCTAGAATAGGCTTGTACCAGCTGAGCTAAAGGAACTTCTCTGTCAGCTGGTGGTGGTAGTAGGCTATTATCTCCTAATGGCCACATTGGCACCTGTGCGAGGCTCAGCTGCTCTAGCTATGCCTCCTGGGTCCCATCTTGCCTCCGACATTGGAGTTTTGCAGTGAGGGGCCAGCCCATGCTTTGAGACAGCTTCCTGGGAAAGCCAGGGGCAAATGGCAGGGGGGATACCTCATGGTTCTGTCAGTGTATGATGGTGACTGAGGGCCTGTGACTATGGGGAGTGGGAGGTCAGGGAGGCCCTGCCCCCAGCTGAACAGGATGCTAGAACCCCTCTTCCGCCATCTGTGCAATGCTGAGTTTCAGCCACGAGGGGGAGCAGCAGTTATGCCTTGTGCCTTGACTAGATGCTGGCTGTGGGGCTGGTTATCTCCTTCCCGCCTCCCTCTGAGCAGAGGGCAGGCTCATGGTGGAAGTGGCTGCAGCCCTGAGTTGGTGCCAAGTAGGGATGTAAGCGACTACTCTAGCAGTCAACTACCTGATAAGCCTGGGCTTATTGGCTAGTCGAGTCACTACTTAACTACTCGCTTCCCCTCCCCTTGCTGCCTCTGTATCAGAGGTGGGGGAAGGAGCCGGTTTCCCCCCCAGCACTGTCTCCCTTGCAGGGTGGAGGAGCCATGGCATGTCCCAGAGCCAGCTGCATTTTAAATGTAGTAAGAACCTGGTGGATCTTACTACATTTAAAATGCTGAGCTATAGTGATCCTGGAGCCGGCTCCTGGAGCTACCCCTGCTGCAGCTCTGCAGAGACTCCCCTTATCAACTAATTGTGTAATTGATTTGTATCAACTACACAATTAGTTGATAATTACCTGCTCCTTAACATCCTTAGTGCCGAGGAGAGTTCAGATAGGGGCGTACATTAGGGGGTCATGCATTCTCTAGCACTGTGGTTTCCAACATGCTAGCTACTAGCCACATGGGGCTATTTGGCCAGTTGAACGTGGCTAGTTTGCTATAGCAGTAGCCACTATAGTGGCTAGGGATGTTAGCCTGTAATAGAATAGTCAACTAATCACATGAATTCTTTGCAGTTACTCAACTATTCTATAGTTCCCGGGGACAGAGATGACAGCCAGTGTGCTCTGGTCCCACTCCCAGGGAGCCCCCTGCCATCCCACACGCCTGCCTCTGTATCACACTGAGGGGGGGGGCAGGGAGGAGCCAGTCTGAAGGAAACCATTTTAAAAATTAATTCCCCTTGCAGACCAACTGCCTGCAGAGGTAGCAGTGTGGGGTGGCAGCTCCACCAAGGACAGAGGCTGCTGTGGCCTGGGCTGGTTGTGGACAAAGGCTGCTCCAGCCTCTGTCTGCAGGGAGCCCAGACCCTCTCCCTGTGCTGTTGCTGGCTCCCCCAGCACCAGCTCCTGCAGCAAGTGGGGTGGAGAGGGGAAATGTAAGTAGTCCATTAACTGATGAGCCTAGACTTATCAGTTACTAGCAGATATCCCTAATAGTGGCTATCTTCAAACTGGTTGGACACCCACGGCTCTAGCAGCTCTCCTGGCTTAACTGTGCTGCCAGCAGCTGGGATCTTGCAAGTTCTGCACATACAATTGGAAAGACCCGATGGAGGAGTGAGGATAAATCCTGGCAAGAAAGTGAGGGGCCCAGCTACTCCAGTGATGGGAGGGGTCTGATCCATGTCAGGCAGGAGCTCAGAGAAGGTGCCCATCAGGGTCCTTTCTCATCTCAGAATTCTTGTGCTCCTTTTACTCTAGCCTCTGTCTCCGTGGAAGTGGCTCCCCTTTCCAGGCTAGGAGGCAGCCCAAGGAAAATGGCCCCGGGGCCTGGCCCTCGCTCTGAACTGGGCAAGAAGTTTTTAGGGGTGGGAGCTTGGCTGGTTGGGGCAGATGGGGGGAGGGGGGGTGGCACATCATGCTGGCTCACAGCAGAGGAGCCAGGCCAGATGGAGCATGCCCACACTCTGCAGGAGGGGGAGGGAGGAAGGTGTCTCCCCCTGGCCTATGCCATCCGTGCAGGGGTGGGGTGGCAGCTGCGCACACTGGAATGAGCTGGTTTCCCTGGTTTTCTTTTTCCCCTCCCTACCCTGTAACCTTGGCACCAGTTGTCTCCATAGCAACATGGCTTGGGATTCCAGCCCCTCCTCCCCAGGCTGTGGTGCTGAAGGTGGGAGAGGGAGGGGCAGGGGTGTCTGGCTCTGGGGCCTTGCCTCCAGCAAGGACAGGCATGAGAGCAGCAGGGCAGAGAGGGGAGAGGCAGGGACTTGGTTAAGCAAGCAGAGGTGGGGCTAGAACCCAGCAGTCTCCTGGCTCCCCTGCACCTGCAGGAAGAGAGCCCCTGGCTGCCTCCCCACCCCCAGCTGCCCTTGTGGAGCTGCTGGCACTGGGTTTGTTTGTGCCTTGGTATCCATGGGGACAGTGAGGGAAGGCCCTCTCCATTGCCAGCCCTGATTACATGCCTGCGGGGCTCCCCCCCCCATGCACACACCAAGCAGCACTTCTGGGGAATCCACACGTGTGCACGTGGCTCTCCAAAGGGCTCATTCTCCCACAGCGACTCTCCTGAGGCACGGTGCTAGGGACACCCAGCCCCAGTCCCTAGGGGCGTGCCTCTTTGGTCTGTGTGGGTGTGACACACAGCCCATGGGGTGACAGACACTTGCTGAGTACAGCTGTGGTGAGGAGTGGGGTAGCAAGTAGTGCAGTCTGCTGAAGTGCAGTGTGACACAGCATGTGACATTCATTCTCCCACAGCGACTCTCCTGAGGCACGGTGCTAGGGACACCCAGCCCCAGTCCCTAGGGGCGTGCCTCTTTGGTCTGTGTGGGTGTGACACACAGCCCATGGGGTGACAGACACTTGCTGAGTACAGCTGTGGTGAGGAGTGGGGTAGCAAGTAGTGCAGTCTGCTGAAGTGCAGTGTGACACAGCATGTGACATCCCTGCAAAGGAGAGAGTGTGCCCACAGCTGTGCCCAGAGCTAGAACCCAGCCGTCCCAACCCGCTCTTGTGCTAACCACTGGGACCCTATCCCCTCCCCTTGCACATGTGCACTCCTACCCCCCCCAGAAGAGCTGGGCTCAGCATTACCACCCTGTTCATGACATGCCCCCTTCCCCCTCAGCAAGGAGCTGAAAGGCTGCTGCTGGGTTAAGATACACTCAGGTTTTATTAAGATGTTGCTGCAGCAAAGCTGGGCTTGAGGTGTGAAACCTCCCTGTTTGGGGTCACCTGCCCCATCTCCCTGATCGGTATCACAGCACCTCAGGGGCATGGGGATGTGCCAGTCCTGCTCCCCAGGGCTCTTGGCACTTCCCCTGGGGGTACCAACTCTAGGTCTGGTGGTTCAGTGATCAGCACCCACTTGGCTGGATTGACACCTCACTAATTTCCTCCCGTGGCGCGTGTGACCTCTCCTGCTGTGACTGAAGAAGTGACTTGAGGAAAATTAGAATCTCTCTCTCCTTCCTGGAGTCACAGAATTTGCTGGGGCTTAAATTTAAATCTATTTTCATTCCCTGAAAGGGGAGCAGCACAGGATGCTCCCAGCTACCAGCCAGGGGGTTTCATTGTTCCAGTTTGGTTCTTAGCCAAATTCTACCCCCACCCTACCCTATTTGTATGTGTCCGCCCCTCCTCCCCTCGCCATGAGATGCAATTACCTTTGTGGTGGGGCACAGGAACTGTTTGTACAGGGACTTCTTGCCTGGTGCGGAGGGGTGTGGGAGCTATTTAGCCGCACAAAGCAGAACCTGGTTCTTTGTATCCAGTTCAAGCTCCATTACAGGGGAGGCTAATAAGGGCAGCTCAGAATGGCATAGCCTCAGGGCTGCCTGGGCAGCAGAGAATCTCCTTCCCATTCCAGGTGTCCAAGAGGCTGTTAGACTTCTCCTGCTCTCCCCTCTCCCCCCTCCCCCTTGGAGGTTAACTGCTACTAAAGGTGAGCCTGGGCTGACTACCAGTGGAAGCAGGGCCAATACTGAATCCTCTCCTGGTGCTGGCTGTTAGGAGTTAATGGCATGAGTCTAGGCATGGAGCCCTTGGCCTATCTGCCTGAGATCTGAGTCCCCAATTTCTGAGGCTGGGCTGCTGGCTACACTGCATCCTGGTTTTCCTGGTGTTCTATAGAGGAAAGCCCCACTGAGCTCGAGCCCCTTACTGCCAGTGGAGATGCAGTAGGGGCCTGGGCGTCCATCTAGTTGCACCCAGCGCCTGTGCAGTGGCCCTAGAGAGGAGATGGGTGAGTCACATCCAGGTGGAGTTTCACAAAGTCCCACAACTTAAGGCTCATGGTGAGAGCAGCTCTGGTCCAAAGGCGGTTGCCCACTGCAAAGGGCATTGTGGTGTTCCAGCCTCAGGGCTCACTGGGGGCAGGCACTTCCTCCAACCCCAGCCTCTGCCATGCAGCCTGCAGGGTGTGGGTGAGGTGGTGCAATCCAATCAGGTAGCCGTCTTCATGGCTGCCCTGGGTCCATGGCACATTGTGCCGCAAGGCCAGCTGGGGGGGTGCCGGCAGCGTTTTGCCAAAGTCGATCATCCACACGTTGGCCCGGCCCTGGCGATCGTGGACAAAGAGCAGGGAGCTCCCGATGACCTGGGAAGAGAGATTGCAGGCATTTGCTCCTAGGGGTGCCAAATCTGCTGCAGCCCCAGGAATGTGGGGAATGGGACATGGAGCAATGCCCCAGGGCCAGGGGCCTGGCTGACTTGGGCAGGGAGAATGGGACATTGCAGGGGAGGGTCCCTCTTCCCCTCTTGGAGATATAGACTCATAGCTTGGGGGGTTTAGCCCCACACACCTCAGCTCTTTGGGGAGCTTCTTGTCCCTCCTCCCTCTCTTTGCCCAGTCTGTTCCTTCAGCCCTGCACCAGGTTCTGTGGGCCCCCTCAGATTGCTGGGGGAAGGGGAAGTCCTGGAGGCCTAGTTCCCTTGGACTCACTTCATGGGTGCGGAAAAAGGTTGATTCCTGCAGCGTGCTCCGCATGCTCTCCAGGCGGCTGTGGTAGGCTCTCTGCAAGATAAGATCAGAAGGTATTGAGTGGGGGCATATCTGCTCTGTGAGGCGGGGAGGCATGGAGAAGGGTAGACATCAAGCTGCCTCTCCCCATCTGACCACGCTGCCTCATGCCCCCATGCTTCAGTCCCAGCCCTCTGTGAGCTGGCACCGAGACTCAGCTGAGATCTCCAACCACCACCAGCCAGCCTTGCACCACCCACTGCCCCTTCCGAGCCTCCCCACTCCCACAGTGCTACCCCACGGGCAACGGGCCAGTGCAATGATCCTGTGGGACCTGCTTCCCGTCCCTTACCAAGATGCTTTCCCGTCTCTTGGTAAAAGTCAGGAAGGTGTCAATGATCTGCTCTTGGGTCCGGGTCTGCTTGAAATCCTTCTGCACAGCTCCACCCTCTATCTGTGAGAGGAGACACAGCATGAGTCAGGAGAGACTTCCCCATACAGCAGCCATCCAGTGTGAAAATGCAACTGTGGAGGGGGTGAGGCATGGACCTCTTGATACAGGGCTCCCCACCTGTTGCTGAGATGCAGCCACCTCTGGGGTGGGGCATAAGGGCTGTTTATGCGGGGTTTCCTTGCCTGGTATTGGCTGAGATGCAGCCACCCCGGGGGAGGGGCAGGGCACAGGGCCAGTGATACATGGCTCTCTTACTGCAGAGGTGAGATGCAGCTTCCTCTACAGTAGGAGCCAGGGACTGTTTACACAAGAAGCTGAAGCCTGGAGCTGAGTTCCTGCAGGGCTGGGAGTCTCTTTCTCCCTCTCACTCACTGTCACACCCTCAATGCGGAAGCCCAGGGAGGCAGTGGAGCTGATGTGCTCGCGCCATTGCATATAGCGGGGCTTGGTGACCGCCCCCTGGCTGTGCTCCTCGGCCGTAGCAGCGCTGGGATCCACCTTCACCATCTTCTGGTACATGTCCTTGCGGGGGGTTGGCTTCAGCAGGGCCTTGGTCAGCTCTTCCTCCAGGTATGTCCTATGGGCAAAGGCAGAGGGGTGGGACTGGGACATAGGGTCTTTGGTCTCTAGAGGCAGCCACCTCAATGTGGCTCTAGAGTGAGGTTCTGACTGGCTTGGTGGGGAATGGAACAGAGGCCCCTTCTCCTCTTGGGGCCAGCGGATCCACTCTCCCAGGGCACTGGGCTCCACTGGCATTTGTCCCCCAACCGCTCCACTAACCTCACCCCCATCTTGCAGTCCATGATGCTGGGTGTGTCGAGGCCACGCAGCAGGTCGTCCATCTGGATGTAGCACTCGCCCTCCTTCACCACCACGCCATGGTAGGCAGGCACATATGGCCGCAGGGCATCCCCCATCAGTGCCTCCAGGCAGGCGCTCTCGACAGTGCTGAACTTCTTCAGGATCTGGCCCCCCTCACTAGGCTTGAAGTTACCTAAGGAAGGAGGTGGGGGTAATGAGGGGCAGGCAAGAAGCCAGGCATCCTACCTGGAGCAGGGAATTCCCCTGGCCAATGACCCTGCCGCAGTGATAACCAGTGGCCAGGAAGTCCCTCAGCCAGCCTGAACATCCACAGCACCTGAAAATGGATTGGGAACCCAGCAATTCTCGTTCCGCAATAGGGAGCTGGGCTGGAGAGTCCCTGAACCCCTTCTCACCTTCATGCCCCGCCAGCTGCACCCAGGAGCTGTGCCGCCGCAGAGACCAGTGCACCATGGTGAAAAATGTCTTCCATGACTTGGTCTAAAGGGAAACATGACAATTGTCAGCCTGGCAAAAGACTGTCTCCCTCCCTCCCCCTGCCCCTTCTCCCGCAGTCTATTTTCCACCCCCTCTAAAAGTAAGACTCTTATCCTAACACTGGCCCAAGCCCCCTAATGCATAAACAGCCCCTCTGCCACACCCCAGAGGTGGCTGCATCCCAGCACCAGGCAAGGGGTCCTTGTGTAAACAGCACCACCCCCCTCCTCCAGAGACAGCTGCATCTCAACACTGGTGAAAGATCCCTGTAGAAACAGTCCCCCGGAGTGGGTACAGCTCAGCGCCAGGTGAAGAATCACTGTGCAAACCCCTGCGCCACACCTCAGAGGAGGCTGCATCTCAGCAGTGAGTGAGAGCGCCCTGTGTAAACGGCCTTTGTGTGCCATCTGAGAGGCGGCTGCATCTCCAGCTTGCGGTGTCCGCAGCAGGCAGTCCCTGCCTCAGCCTTGTTGCTGTGTGAGTGCCTGGCGCTGAGTCACTCCGGTGCTGGGGCTCTGACCCTGCTGTGACTCAACCGACTTTCCTGCCGCTGGTGCTGGCTGCAGGCACCTTGCTAAAACGTGCCTGGGGCTCAGGGTGGGGTTGGTGCTTGCGGGCAGGATGGGGAGCACGCACACCAGCTCCCCCAGGCATGTCATCTGCCTTAAGTAGAGCAGCCTCCCCTAGCGCTAGCGGGGACTGGGCTGAGATGGCTACTTGGGCGTCAAAGGGGAAAGTGCATAGCTGCACTATGCCGAGACAGGGTGGCGGGGCGGGCATGTTTCTTGGATATGTGTTGTTCACAGATATGCCAAGCGACTCAAATCTCAGCTCAGCAACCTTCGCGGCTCCAAGCCCACAGGAAGGGAGCTTCCCGCTGCCTCGCACGCACGTACGCCACACACACTGGAGGCAGAGCATGGCTGGTGTGCTCACATGCTGGACAGCCAGGTGTGATGCACTGCTACACACACACAAATTGCAGGGGGGGCTGAGCAGAGCACCGTGCCCTGTGGCTCACACTGGTATGCAGTGCACACTGTAGCACCCTGGAGCCCCCTGCACTGATGCCAACATGCACCCTGAGTGCAAACAAAAGCCACCCAGCTAGGTATGGAGCAATGCTGCATAGATATGCATGCTCTGCAGAGCAGAGATGCAGACCCAGGTGCAATGCGTTGATACACACACTTTTTGCAGACGCACAAAACCATTGCAGACGCAATGCATTTCGGCTCTCTCACACGCTCGTGCATACTTTGCATGTGCCACGCACTGATCCTAGCCTTGCAGCTTGGTTACAGTGCCTCGCACAGAGAGCTTGCACTAGCTCTGCCTGCTTTTGCACACTTATACACATTTGTGCAATCATGTGGGTGCCCTGTAACCCCTGTGCAGCCCTCCCTGTAGGGTGCTGGCTTTTCTCCAAGCAGCGCCTCGCTCCCAGCTGCCTTGCAGGCTGCAAAGGAAACCCAAGGCCTGGCACCCACCCAAAAGAGCTCACTTTTTCCACAACAGTCGGCTCCAGCTGGCCCCTGGTTCTGCCGGTTGTATTAACCCTTCAAGGGTAAGGGAAGTTGGGAGGGGTGGGGGACTTGATTCTGGAAACAGAGGAGGCAGATGGCTGGAGGAGCACAAGCTGGGGGGCAGGGAAGGGGGCAGGTATGTGAATAGGGAGCACAGGCAAGGGGAGGGAATCCCAGCGGGGATCCTCCCCAGCAGATCCATGGAGCGGGTAATCTGTCCAAATCTGAGTGTCCAGATGGGGTGGGTCTGAGCTGGGTGATGGTGGAGGAGGCAAGGGGTGTAAAGAGGTGAGGAGGATCCCCTCCATGCCCACCTCTGCTTACTTCCCTGACCTGCTAACATAGGGGTTCTCTCGCCTCACAGCACTGCAGCCTGATAAACCATCACTACATGACCCCAGGAGGAGGGACCGAAGCCTGAGCCCGCCCGAGCCCCACCACCCGGCTGGGGGGTAGAGTCAAAGCCCCAGGGCTGCAGCCCCAGGTAACCAGAGCCCTGCTGCCTGGGGAAGAAGCCCTCAGGCTTCCAGTGGTGGTGCTCAGGCTGTGGCCTCAGCACGTCTAAGGCCAGCCGTGGAGACCCCATGAAAATGGGGTCATGACCCATTTGGGGTTCCTGATCCACAGCCGGAGAGAAAGGCTGGACTGAGGATGCACCATCATATCCATCGTCAATGCAGAGCACAAGATCCCTGCTCCTCCCCATTTCCCTCTCCCCGGGCCAGGGCACTGGGGGGCTGGCAGCAGATGAAAGGGAGGTATTGACTTTCCAGGTGCCTGCTCAAGGGATCAGAGGGTGGAAGGTTCCCGTCCCTCCCCCTCAGTAGGCAGCTGGCACCGATGCTCCAAGATGGGAACTGGCATGAGTCCAGGGGGATGGGCATGGAACAAAGCCCTAGACCTCAGTGGGAGGGGGAGGGAGGAGCTTTAAGAGCGGCCAGCACTTCCCCCCATTAATCACTGCTTGGCCCCCACCTCCATGGCACCAGGAGGCAGGCACTGACATCAGCTACCAGGGGGATGCCCCAATTCACTCCCTGAGCCAGCCAACCCTCCCCCCAACAGCTTTCTTCTCTCTTGACTCAGGGGAGGCGGGGGCACTTGCTCAGCCAGTGCTGAGGAAACCAGGAACCGCAACCACCCCCAGTCAAGGGGGGGGAGGAAGTGACATCAGAGCCCAGAGGGGAATCCTTCTGCAGATACTGAGATGATGAGAAGGGCGAGACAGGCAACCCCTGCACAACACACTGTAACACACTGAACGCCTGCATCACGCCTCTCGCCTGCAACACAACACAACCTGCATGAAAAACACAATCCCCCAGCGCAACCCTGCCCGGCACAACCTCTACTCCAGTGTTTCTTAAACTTTTTGAGACCACAGGACACCAAACAATATTTTTTAATGCGAAACACCTATGAAAATTTTCTTCCAAAAAAAAAATTGTCAGACAAAAAAAGACAACAGCAAAGACGAGGTCGCGGCACACCTGTGAGTTGTTCAGGGAACACCAGTGTTCCGCGGAACACAGTTTAAGAAACACTGCTCTACACAACACAGCCCCTCCATGCAGCATGCACAGTACAACCCCGAAACAATACAACCTCTCTGTGCAGCAAACACAACCCAGCTCACCTGGGCCACATACTGACACCACCACACAACCTCTACCCAATATAGCCTCTATGCAATAACTTCTCTGAGCAGCATTCACAGGGCCCACAGCCCCCCTCCCTCCTCTGCCTGCAGCAGGGCCAAGCTCATGGCCGTGGGCAGGAAGACGTGGGAGGCAGCAGAGGTGGGGGGGAGCGGAAAGGGGCCGCCCTTCCCACCCGCCTCAAGTACTCCGGATAGGCCTGAGTGGGTCCAAGAGCCGTCTACGGGTGCTACTAGAGCTGGTGATCTTCAATCCCAACCTCGAGTCCTGCTATCCCAGCCCTGAGCTCCCCAACCAGCTCTGCTGTCCCCCCCAATCCCAATCTGCAGCTCTATACTGTCCCAACCCCGGTTCCCTTGCCAGACCCTCACACCCCAAAGGCAGCACTGAGCTCCCCCTCCCCCCTTGTCTTACCTTCTTCAGCATCTTCCTCCTCCCAGACTGCCCTCTCTCCTCTTCCTCACTGAAGACCTCGTCCGACTCCTGCGAGGACTCGAAGGAGGAGCAGGTAGAGGAGCTGGAGATGGAGCGATCGTGGCCATGGCCAAGTCCCCTTGTAGCCAGATGCTGGAGCTTGGGGGCCTCCAGGGGACCCTCATTCCCTTTGGTTCCATGAGGGGATGGGGCCGGGACTCCTGGAGAGACCTCCTCAGGAGATGCCTTTGCCCTCTTCAGGGCCTGTCCCTCCACTCTCATATCCATGGGGAGCCCTGAGCCCTGGACTGGCTCCCCTCTCCATTCAGGGTTCCCTGGGGCACCCTCTGCCCCACAGGGAACAGGGCAGTCCTGTCCGCCCTGAGCCAGGGCTTGAGAGACACCTTTAGGACAGGCCTTGATGCCATTGAGCCCCTCCATGGCTGATCCCACTAGATTGTCTCCCTGGGGTACTCCAATTCAGAGTTCAGTTCAGACCGACTGTGGGTGGCATCTCCTTTCCCTGCGGAGCCCGACAGGGAGTGAGCTGGGGCTCCGCATTGCTGGGAAAAGGCGGGGTCCGTCCTGTGGGGAAAGCAGCACAGAAAGGGAAGGATTAATTGGATATGCTGGGGGGGACTGCTTGGTGGCAGCCCCCAGGAGCCCCTCCCTCCTACACTCCCCTAGGCAGCTCAGCTCCAGGCCTCTGCCTGCCATGCACCCCAGGGCCCAGAGAGAACTGATTTCACAACCTGAAAGGGGAAGAGAGAGAATAGAAAAGAGCTATGAGGGAATTGTCTTAACCAGTTCCCGCCCCCACAGGTCCAGCCCATCTGGGTACGGTGACCAGATGTCCTGACATTATCGAGTCCATCCCAATATTTTGGGGTTTTGTCCATTAACCTTCTTTGTTACCCCCCATCCCAATTTTTCACTTGCTGCTTGGTCACCCTAATCTTGGGGATGGCAGGGCCACTCCCCTCTTCACCAGAAGATGCAGTGTCACAGACCAAGTCACGTTTCCCCATTTGGCCATGAGAGAAACTGAGGCACTGAACAGGGAGAGGGGTTTGTCTCCACAACCCAGAATCATGGAGTCCTGCTCCCAGCCTCCCTGCACCTCACTCTCCTCCCAGAGCTGAGGAAAGAACCCAGAAGTCCTGACTCCCAACTGCAAGAGGTCATTTTAGATTCACTGTGATCTAGTGTGATTACTTGTGACCCACTACAATTGTGATCTGTAATCTAGTATGTTTAGTAAAATTTGTCATGATCAACTTGGATCTGTGTCAATCAGTGTTCAGCCAGTGGGTGAGGCTTACCAGTTAACCAGCACCTGGCTGGGCTAAAATAGCCCCGGCCCACAGTGGCCAGACTCACCACCATGCTGCGCCATGGGCTGAGGTGGCCGCTGGCAGCACTGCAAGGTTGGGAGCTGGAAGCTTCACAGGGCTGGCAGCTGAGCCCCACAGTTAACTGTGTAACTGATAGAATTTTTATGGCAAAGACCCACTTCGTCAGATGCAAGTTAACAGATACAGTTAACTGTGTAACTGATAGAATTTTTATGGGTTACATGGTTAATATTTTTATATATTTTTTACATCCCAAATGTGAACCACTGCAGGATCTAGTGTGGTCTCTTGGGCTGAACTGTGATCTGCTGTAGTCTGATGAGCTCCGTAGGAATTGATTGTCATTTACTGTTGTGTTCTGTTGGGACTTGGGAGGACCAGTTTTGATCCGCCAAGAGCCTCTGAGATTTGTGTGATCCATTCAGATCTGCTGTGAAATACCGAAAAAACAGTTCAAATTAACTTTGTAGTGTAGACATATCCTTACAGACTCACATTGGCTACCCCTCAGAAAATTTTCAACAGAATTAGTACTTTGGATGACTCTTAATCCACTTCATTATTCCTGATCTTTGCTCTTCTTTAAATTCTACCATACTCACACTACCCCTAATCAAACTATGTTCTTCTCTCAGACCCTTCCAAAAACAAATGCTTTCTATAAGCATCCCTTACATCCATTGCAATGTCTCGGGAGACCTGGTTGCTTCTGTCTAGTTTCTTATGCAATGCCTATCATCATGATATCTGAGCACCTTTTGACTTCTTTTAGACTATATCATTACTATAAAAGGGATGTGTGGCAGGGGGGAGAGGGGTGCCTTCACTGAGATAACCACGTCAATGTAAAATCCTAGGTAAGGCAAGGGACAGGTTTTTTTTACTTTAATGTACCCAGCCGAGGTAAAGCCAAGGTAAGAGGGTCTGACATTGACCTTGTCTAGCAAAATCAAAGTAAAACCTCCCTTTTGCTTTGTCTTCTTCACTAGAGTTTTACATTGAGATGACAGCTATCTTGAGTAAACAATCTCAATGTAAAACACCTTTTTTTTTTTTGAATGAACTCCAAGCTTTACTTATGTTGATCTTCTATGAATAGGAAGATACTAATTCAGGGTATGTCTACGCTACCCTCCTAGTTCGAACTAGGAGGGTAGTGTAGACATACCCTCAGTTCTTTCAATTTTTTTTTTTTTTTGAAAACGTGATTGCAGTGTGGACACAATTGAAGTTTTTTCAGAAAAACAGCTGTTTTTCCGAAAAAAAAACTCTGTAGTGTAGACATACCCTGAGATAGTCCAGAGACTCCGTCGTCTGGCTGGCAGATCTTGCTCCCATGCTCAGGATGTAACTGATTGCCAGATTTGGAGTGGGAAAGGAATTTTCCCAGAGGTCAGATTGACAGGAGTGACTTTGAGGTATCTGCTAGGATTATCCAGTTATGCCTCACCTCACCAATTCCCTGCAGCCACAGGGCCCATGGACACGAATGACACCTGGATCTCTCCTGTTCTCTCCCTGGGGCTCACAACAGGTTGGTCTTGTGAGGACTGAAATGCTTCAGTCAAAGTAAGTCATTGAGCTAGACAGAGAGGTACCTGGGAGAAGTGGAATGGCCTATGATTAGGGCTCTACCATTTACAGTCCATTTCGATCAATTTCACAGTCATATGATTTTTAAGTCATTATTTCATCTATTTAAATAAAAAATGTCATAGTGCTGCAGGGGTCCTGATCCAAAAAGGAGTTGTGGAGGGCGTGGGGGGGGGTCATAAAGTGATTGTTACTGAAGGCAGAACCACTCTGCGCAGCAGCGCAGAAATATGCCCAGTATGGCACTGCCACTCTTACTTCTGTGCTGCTGCTGCTGGCAGGGTACCACCTTCGGAACAAGGCACCTGGCCCACAGCCCCCCAGCTCTTAAGACAGCACAGCAGTAAGGGTGGCAATACCATGATGCCCCTAAAATTACCTTGCAACCCTCTGCAGCTCTCTTTTGGGTCAGGACCCTTAAGGTGTGTCTAGACTACAGGGTTTTGTCGACAAAACTATCCCTGCGAATACACTGCTGCTGAGTTCTGTCGACATAACGTCAACAGAACTCGGCAGTTTTGTCAGCGACTGTAAACCTCATTCTACAAGGAATAACGCCTTTTGTCCACAGAGTTCTGTATACAGAAGGCGTTATTGCATCTACACTGTCCTTTGCGCCTACACTGTCATGTTGACAAAGTGGCTTGCTTTGTTGACAGAACTGGATGCAGTCTAGACGCTTTTTGTTGACACAAGCTTTGTCGACAGGATCTGTCGACAAAACTTCTGACGACAAAAGCCTGTAGTCTAGATGTACCCTTTGTGTGAGAAATGCTGGTTTCCCCCTGTGAAATCTGTATACTGTAGGGCAAGGGTGAGGAAACTTTTTTTGGATTGGGGGCCACTGACCCACAGAAAAATCAGTCAGGGGCTGCACACAAGTGAGAAGTGGGAAAAAAAACCCTGTGGCCCCCGACTGAGGAGGAGAAAGACTCCCCATATTCCCTTTGCACACCAGAGCCTGGGGGACCAGCCTAGTAGATGTTGTGCACTCCAGCCCCCAGGGGGCAGCAAGAGGGATGGAGTGCCAGCACAGGGGGCACTGAGCCTCAGGGGCCAGATCCAGGCAAGCTGAGGGCCACATTTGGCCTCCAGACCTGAGATACCCCACCCCTGTTGTAGGGTAAAAGCACACCAAAGACCAAATGTCATGACTGTGAACTTGTGGGCCGTACCTGTGATACACAGGAAGGCAGACTGGAGGATCTAGTGATCTCTTATGGCCTGATGGGAACTATTGCAATCTGACATGACCTGTTTTGATCTGCTGGGCTCTATGGAGCTCTACCAATATGGGTTGGGATATATTGAGATCTGTTGTGACACACTGGGAGCTACTGGGATGTTCTACCCCGGGGGAGGCGTTGCATCCTGAGCTCGTTGTTAATTGATAAGTAGATCTGCACAGATCCTGGGGGATGGACCATAGGAACAAACATTGTCCTGGATTGTGGGAGGAGGGTAGCTGGATCTCTTTTTCCCATTTGCCCTTGCCAGGCTGGAGAGGAGAGGGAGTCAGGGGAAAGTGGCTTAACACCATCACCGCCACATCTACTGCCTCTCAAAAGGGTTTTCCAGCTTGGCTCCAGGCCCAGCACTCTTCCTGGCAAAGAGCCTCCGTCCCCTGGCCCAGCGCCATGGAACCTCCTGAGGCTTTCCAGAAGGGAGGGTGGGAAATGGGAGGAACAAACTGATTCCCAGCCCAGGGCTCTGGGCACATGGGGAAAGGAGCCTGCTGGCCTATGGCCAAAGGGCAACAGCAGGGAGGCAGGAGGGGGACACAGGAGGGGATGAAGGAGGCTGGGATGCTCACTCTGAGCCATGCAGACCATGTGCCCTTGCCCTGGCCATGATATCCCACTCCCCTCCCTGCCTGGGCTGGAACCCTGGCTCCCAGCCTCCCGCTTGAACCCTCTAGGCTAGACCCCATTGTGGGGCAGAGAATGGCATATTGTGAGGGGCAGTGTGTGGATGTGTAAGGGGGCAGAAGGATGAGGGGAAGGAAGTGTCCGGCTGCCCTTGCACAATGATTCCCGTGCATGGAAAATCCCATGGGCAACTGTAGCCCGCAGTGGGGTCATTATCCCAGGGGGGCTCCCTGGGTTTGGGGGACAGGAGGAGGTGGGAGGATGATCGGATATGGGGACTAGAACCCAGGAGTCCTCACCGATGAGACCCAGCCCCGCTCCCGTCCCGAGGTAGGGTCCTTCGCCCCATGTGGACCAGGAAGTGCAGCGGTGACCCCCCCATCTTGGCTTTCCCGCGAGTCTAAGGGGGGTGCGTGGATGGGAGCGGCTTCCATAACCCCGTCCCGGCTGGGGGGGAGGGAGCGTCCTGCTGTAGAGCACGGAGCACCTCCCCTGCGCCGAGTTCAGCTGCCCGCTCCCCGAGCCCCTCCCAGCCCTGCAGAGCGATGCCCCCTACCTTGCGAGCCGGCTCCGGGCTAGCGCTGCACAGGCATCCCGGCGCCGCGCGATCCAGCCTGGCCGGAGACTGGCCGCTGCAGGGGGAGGCGGGGGCGGAGAATGGCTGAAAATCCGCCCCCCTTTCCCCCCCCCCCCAGCCCCACCCCCCGCCACTAAAATTAGTCCTGCGCTGCCCCCTGCTGCTCCGCCCGGGGACTGACTCCCGCCGGGCGCGGGAGAAGGGGGCGCTGCGCCGGCAGGGGGCGCTGCAGGGGGCTTTGATGTGGGGGTGCTGAGTGTAAGGGGCGGGGTCCGGAGGCGAGGCGGGGGGGGGAACCGCCATGGGATATGGATCCTAACGGAGTATGCGGGGGTCCCAGAATCAGATTCGAGTGCAATTTCCCTCTAGTTGGGCACCGAAGCCTGGGCACAGATCCAGCCAGCGCCCACCTCACCGACACCCAGCCATCACCAAAGCCACTCGGCTATCCACCCACCGCCACTCCATCTGCCCATCCACCCATCCGCATAGGCACCCGGCCATCCACCCATCCATTCCCACACCCATCTATCTGCCTAGTGCACTCTGGGCAGCTCTGAGGGCTGGCTGGGGGAGACGGTGTGGCGCGCTCTGGCTGGTGCTGAGGGCTAACTGCCCCCATCTCCTCCCCTTCTGTCCAAGGTCCCACCCCTTCCAGGAATAAGCTGCTGGGACCCCCTCACCTTGCCCCGGGGCTCGGCAATTCTATCAGCTCCTCTGCACATACACATCAATCCACCTAGCCTCATAGAGACCTACACACATATTCATCCATCCCCATAGCCTCTCATCCATCTATCCATCCCCATTCACTCCATCAGTCCCCATATACATCCATCCACATACAAGCCCTGCATTCACCCATCCACTTGCATATCCATCCTTTTGTCCCTGTAGCCACCCACCATCTATCTATCTATCTATCTATCTATCTATCTATCTATCTCACTTCTACTTTTATTCATTCTCTCTATTCTTCTGGATTTATAATGTTCAGCCCCCTTGGTGGTTCCCTCTCATCTCACTACTTCTGTTTTTCTCTATCACATTTGACATATTTTCTTCCCCAAGTATCTCAAAGCTTGCAGTCCTTCACTCTTCCCTCCACCTGCCCCATCCTCCCCCGCTGATTCTCCCACTCCAATCCTCCTCCACCCTCTTCCCCCATCCTTGCATCATTGATCCTTCTTTCCAGCCCCCCACCACTTGCTCCCTATACTCCCCCACTGATTCCCCCACTATTCACTTGCCCCCTGTATTCTCCATCCCATTCCCTTGCCATCTCCCCCACAATGCAGCAGCACTAGACAAAACAGGCTTTTCAGTCCTTTATTACCTTCTTAGTCAGAGTCCTCTGAGATCTCATAGACAGTGACGCGCAGCTTGTCCAGGTCCCACTCTGGGGGGGAAATCTCCTCTCCCTGCGCCCCCCAAGTCCCCTGCATCCCCGGAGTTTCCAGCGCCTCCCTGCGCCTCCGCAGCTCATTCAGGAAGCCCTGCAGCTCCCTCTCCATCTGATTCAGCCTTCGCAGGTGTTTCTCCTTGGCCTTCCTGGGTGTTTGTGCGGGCCTTGGGGGCACAGCCACTGCCTTGCTGCCCACCTCACTGCCTACCGTGCTGCTGCCCTCGCTGGCCTGGCCATGGGGAGAGAGCTGGGGTCAGGGCCAGGGTGGTACAAACTTCATCTCCCCTGGGGGATTCCCCACCACCAGGGACGGGCGGATGGATAGAGGGGTGTGTGTATGAGGAAGGTTTGATGGTTGTATAAATACATAGATTAGTATGTATAGGCCTAGATGGAGGAATGGGTGTGGGAGATGGAGAGGTGTGGGGGGAGTGGATATGGAAATGGATGGATAGAAATACAGTGACTCCATACATCCCCCATCCTCCCCCTGCCCTGCTGTTGATACCTGTTTCCCTGGCTATTCCCAGGACCCCATGGCAAACCCTCCTTGTGTTCCTCCACTCTCCATAGCTGTCTCCTGCTGTAATGCCCTTTGGGATGGTTTCTCTGCATGCCTGGCCAGCCATGTATCTCAGGACCAGAGTGCACAGGTGTGGGCCTGGAGATGACCAAGACAGCCCATCCCCCTGTGTCAGCAGGATCCCAGCCCAGGAGGCAGGGATCATGGCAGAGGGTGTGATGCACTGACTGCCCTGGAGCCATGTGGCAGCAGAGGGACATGTACTCCTGGCGTTAGCCTTGCCCTCTTTGCCAGACTGACGTAGGCCCTCACCCCCTTTGCTGGGCTCATGGCATTGCCTCCCCCTCTCCCGTCCCTCTCCCACCCCGTGCCAGACCAGGGTCTCCACCTCCTTTGCCAAACTGGTGTGCCTGCCTCTGTTCCTGGGCTGGCTTTGCCCTCTTTGTCCAATTGGCATCACCACCTCCTTTGCAAGGCTGGTATCCCTGCACCCTCACCTCACTCTGTGCTTCCTCTGCCTCCTCCTCTTCCTCGAAGTCAGGATCTGAAGCCACAGCCTTGATGAGGCCATACATCACAGCCACGGCTACCCCACACACCATCACCACTTGCACTGGGCTCCCCACCTGGCCCTCGGTCCCTGGCCCTTCCTGCCTGATGCGGAATTGCTTCTCACAGGGGCCCTTGGCTTGGCCAAGGATCAGGGTCCTGCTCAGGACAGCCCAGTGCAGCAGGAAGGGCAGAGACCACACCAGGGTAGTCATGGCCCAATCCCCAGGGAGCTGACACAGCCTGACACATGCGCTGCTCTGGAACCTGCTGCGACCTCACAGCCATATCCCATTGTGTCCTCACCACCTGGGGACCTCTCAGCTAGAATGGTCTGGGGCAGGGAGGCACCAGCTGGGAGCCAGGGGGTTTAGATTTTTCTGCCACAAGAAACCCGTCTGACTTAGGACAAGCAATTGAATCCCTCTGTTCCTCAGTTCCCCATCTGTCAAACAGGGAGAAAAATCCCTCCTTGGTCCATCTAGACTGGGAGCTCTTCAGTGCAGGGCCTGCACTCCCACCCCACCCCCTGACACAATGGAGCCATGATCTGCCTTGGGGTCTGTGGAGCACCTGGCACAAACCTCCACTGGGTCCTCTACAGCTCTGTCACAATAGTAAGTAAAGCAATTTTGCTCTCCAGAGACAGGAATTGAACACAGGAATCCTGGCTCCCAATCTCTAGTGTAACCAATAACATCACCCGGAATATGACATTCCAGACAGCGAGAGGCAGTGGAGAGTGGGTGTTTGTATGTACACACTCACGGCCTTGGTCTGCACTAGGGATTTATTTCAAAATAATAAGCGGAGCGTCCACACTACCAGCCCCCTTATTTCAAAGTAATGGGTTGGTTATTTTGAAATCTGTACTCCTGCTTTCCTCGGGGAATAGTGCTAATCGTTACGTTGAAGTAGCAGTAGTGTGGATGCTCCGCTGCTGCTATTTCGAAATAACTACTCCCGAGAGTCAATCAAAGTAATTACTCCCCAGTGCTTCCTGGGGTTCTATGTCGAGGTAGCATGTCCACATGAATGGAGCCTGCCTTGGACTCATTTTGAGGCTCCCCATGGTGAGGAAATGCTATTTTGATTTTATTATTTCAGGAGTTATTATTTCAAATTTAATTATTTCAAAATAATGTCGTAGTGTAGACGTGCCCACACAAACACAAGCCTTGGACTATGCTAAAGAGTTAGATCGGCATGAGGCAATTTATGAACTCTAACAGCTTATGTAATTCTGTAGGAGTCTGCACTGAAATGGCGTTCCTGTTGATATCGCTCATCTTCTACACTGATTTAATAACTCCAGCTTCACTAGTTGTGTGGAGTCAGTATTGTGTAGTACATGGACACAGTGTCAGGCACCTGTTGCTGCCTTTCAGGAGCGATCCCATAATGCCTCACACTGACAGTTCAGTTGGTACAAGTGCTCCTGCTGAGCATGTGAGCTGCCCACACAAGGTGCAAAGTGTAGACATGCACAAGTGACATAATTACTGCAGTGGTGGTATGCAGTTAGCTCCATTTAATTTTGTAGTGTGAACATGCTCATGGTCTCAGTATGTCACACACACACAGAGAGTCTTGTGCAAGCATTCATCTTTTACACACACATATGCTCTGTTTCACAATGTCTAATTCACAATCACTTTATATCTCTCACCACAGTCTGTTTCACACACACATGTTCTCACTTCTCAAACACAATCACATACACACTGTATCTCTCAGTCTGTCTAGTACGTACACCCAATCTCTCACACACATTCGGTCTTGCATGCACTTGTGTACGTACAATCTCTTCACACATGCACACACAAGCTCTTTTGCTCACACATACAGGCATGCACACACAAACAGTCTGCCTCTCTCACACATACAATCTTCAGCACTATTTAAAACTCTCCTTTGCCATAATCCCCCCCAAAAAAAAACATTTAACAGGTTCCTGGTGTTTGGAGCCCGCTTTCTATCATGTTTACCAATAATGCCTCATTGGGATTCTCTTCTGTCCCCCTCCAGCTGTTGTCTCTTGTCTTATTCTTAGACTGGAAGCTCTCAGGGGCAGGGACTATCTTTCCTTCGGTGCTTGTACAGCACCTACCGCCTAGCACAATGCAGGGGCTCCTAGGTGCTACCACACAACCCATAATAGAATCATAGAATCACAGAACCATAGAGCTGGAAGATACCTCAGAAGGTCATCAAGTCCAGCCCCCTGCTCTAGGCAGGACCAATCCCAACTAAATCAACCCGGCCAGGGCTGTGTCAAGCTGAGACTTAAACACCTCTAGGGATGGAGACTCCACTACTTCCCTAGGGAACCCATCCCAGTGCTTCACCACCCTCCTACTGAAATAGTTTTTCCTAATATCCAACTTGGACCTCTCTCACTACAACTTGAGACCATTGCTCCTTGTTCTGCCATCTGTCACTACTGAGAACAGCCTCTCTCCATCCTCTTTGGAACCTCCCTTCAGGAAGCTGAAGGCTGCTATCAAATCCCCCCTCACTCTTCGCTTCTGCAGACTAAAAAGACCCAACTCCCTCAGCCTCTCCTTATAGGTCATATGCTCTAATCCCCTAATCATTTTGGTTGCCTCCAGGGGGCCCAGAACTGGACACAATGCTCCAGATGTGGCCTCACCAGAGCCGAATAAAGGGGAATAATGACATCTCTGGATCTGCTGGCAACACTCCTCTTAATGCAACCTAATATGCCATTAGCCTTCTTGGCTACAAGGGCACATTGTTGACTCATATCCAGCTTCTCATCCACTGTAACCCCCAGGTCCTTTTCTGCAGAACTACTACTTAGCTGGTTGGTTCCCAGCCTGTAACAACGCTTGGGATTCTTCCATCCCAAGTGCAGGACTCTGCACTTGTCCTTGTTAAGCCTCATCAGATTTCTTGTGGCCCGATCCTCCAATTTGTCTAAGTCACTCTGGACCCTATCTCTGCCCTCTAGTATCTACCTCTCCTGAGGGCAGAGATAATAAAAAGGAAGCACTGAGGTTTGGTTTGGTTGTTGTTGCTTTTATTTCTCCTGGGATTTTTTTTCAGCTGTACCTCTCCTGAGGGCAGAGATAATAAAAAGGAAGCACTGAGGTTTGGTTTGGTTGTTGTTGCTTTTATTTCTCCTAGGATTTTTTTTCAGCTGCTATCCCTCATGCACCCTACACATGCAGGAGCCCCTCCCCTGCACTATACAGGCCAGCTGGGCACCCTGCGCGGGAGGGAGCATTTAATCTCTAACGCACCTCGGACATGCATTCCAGGCTTCCAGCTCAGAAGCTGGAGTGGCCCCTATAAGGAGCTTGTGGCCACCTTGAATCACTGGTTGCCCATCCAGCCCCTTGTGGGCAATGAGCCTTGGATGCCCCCGTTACTTCTTCCCCTTCCACACACACAATCGGTCCCTAAGTGGCAGCCTCAGCAGCGAAGCGGCGAGTTGATGGGCAGCGAGTGAGTGGCTGGTGTCGGGGCGCTCAGCGGGCACCATGCCAGCCCCGCCGTGCCACAGGGCGAGCCAGGACGCGGGCAAGCAAGGGCGTGGGAGGGGCTAAGTAAGGGACACTCCTACTTAGCTGCCATTGGTCAGGACCTACGGACACTTCATCGCACTGGCTGCGGGAGCGATGGGGCCGGGCAGAGACAGCGGCGCTACGGGGAGCTGGTGTCGGGGCGCTCAGCGGGCACCATGCCAGCCCCGCCGTGCCACAGGGCGAGCCAGGACGCGGGCAAGCAAGGGCGTGGGAGGGGCTAAGTAAGGGACACTCCTACTTAGCTGCCATTGGTCAGGACCTACGGACACTTCATCGCACTGGCTGCGGGAGCGATGGGGCCGGGCAGAGACAGCGGCGCTACGGGGAGGCTGCGAACAAAAGCGCTCAGGGAGCAGCAGCGGGGGCGGCCCCCC